TACTCGATCGCCCTCTCCCTCGCTCCCAGCTCTCCACGACGACGACGGCGACGACGACAGCAGGCGCCGCCATGGACCGCGTCACAGACTGGTGAGCCTCTGGCCGGAGCGCCGCGGCGCGGCCCCCGCACCCTCTCTCTTCCCTGCTCCTCCTCTGCCCCTGCTCCTCCACCCCTCTTCCCTGCGCCCCTTGGGCCACCTCCCTGCCCTCCTCCTCCTCCCCCCCTCCCCCTCCTCATCCGCATTATCTCATCTGCGGCGCGGCAGCGGGCTGGCGGGCCTTTTCGCCTGGCTTCGGCATCTCCTCCTCCTCCTCCTCCTCCTCCTCCTCCTCCTCCTCCTCCTCTTCCTCTTCCTATTCCTCCTCCTTCTCTATCCCCCCACTCCTCCTCCTCCTCCTCCTCCTCACCCTCCGCACGTCGTTTGCCTCCTCCCCCCCCCCACAGGCGGCACGCTGCTAAGGTCGCGACGAACCGGCTGAGCGAGCGGCCGAGTTCCACTTTCGCCCGGGCGAGCAGGCGAAGGTAGTACTCCTTCTCCGCGCTCAGGGCGATGGCGGTGCTCGCACCGCTAGCCTTGGCCGCGATCCTCAGCGTGCGTGCCTGGCGGGGCCCGCGTGCCGCCCCCTCCCCCGTGACTCGTCTACCGCATGGCCCTGGGGCATTGGAGGGGATGGGGCCAAGGGGGAAGGGGACAGGGGGATTCTCCAGAAGTGGGTAGGACAATGGGGAATCACACACCACAGCGACGTCATCATCTTCGACGAGGTTGTCGTCTTCGTCCTCCTCCCCTCCCTCCCCCTCCCCCATCCTCCTCCTCCTTCTCCTCCTCCTCCTCCTCCACTTCCTCCTCCTCCTCATCCTCCTCCTCCTCCTCCCCCTCCCTACCCTTCTCATCTCGCCTCCCTCTGCGCCTCCTCAGTCCTCGAGCCTCCCCCGTGCAGCCCCCTCCCCCCCCTCCCCCATCCCCCCTCCTTCTCTTTTCGGGCGTAGCCCGAATTTGTTTTTCGCGAGGTGCCGGACTGGACTTGACTGGACTGGACTGGTCGCACTCGTTACGGGCCAGTTTTATTTTCGGCCGGCGAGGGCGCAACCTACCTATGGCGCAACCAATAAATAAATAGGAGCCAGTTTTATGTTCGGCGGGCGAGGGCGCAACATATGGCGCAACCAATAGGAGCCAGTTATATTCTCGGCGGGCGAGGGCGCAACCTATGGCACAACCAGTAGGGGCCAGTTTTTTGTTTGGCGGGCGAGGGCGCAACCTTTGGCACAGCCAGTTATATTCTCGGCGGGCGAGGGCGCAACCTATGGCACAACCAATAGGAAGGAGCCAGTTTTGTGTTTGGCGGGCGAGGGCGCAACCTAAGGCACAAGAGCCAGTTATATTCTCGGCGGGCGAGGGCGCAACGTATGGCGCAGCCAATAGGGGCCAGTTTTATGTTCGGCGGGCGAGGGCGCAACCTATGGCGCAACTAATAAATAGGAGCCAGTTATATTCTCGGCGGGCGAGGGCGCAACCTATGGCACAACCAGTAGGAGCCAGTTTTTTGTTCGGCGGGCGAGGGCGCAACCTATGGCGAATCCAAATAAGCGCCAGTTATATTATCGGCGGGCGAGGGCGCAACCTATGCTATGGCGCAACACGACGACGACGACGACGACGACGACGTCGACGACGACGAAAACAATGACGACGACGACGGCGGCGGCGGCGGCGACGACGACGACGGCGACGACAACGATGACGACGACGAGCACCGCCACCACGATATCCGAGGCGGCGACGACCGCGCTCAGGGGCCCCAGACTGGCTGGGCATCCGCATGCGTGCGGGGCTACGCCCGAATTATGCTCGCCGTTTGGGTTGGCCGCGGGGCCCTAGCGGCGAGCTGTCTTGTGATTCTCCTCCTCCTCCTCCACCTCCTCCTCACTCCCCCTTTCTCCGCCCTTCCTTTCCTGGCAGCCGCCCGCCAGCGGCCTTCGCGCCAGAAAAAGCTCAGCGCCCTGCATCAAGGGCCAGCCGCCGCCGCTGCCGCCGCCGTCGCCGTGATCGTCGTCGTCGCCGCCGTTCGTCGTCGTCGTCGACCGCCAGCCATCGCCCGTCGCCCGTCGTCGTCGTCGTCGATCTGCGACCGAAGTTCGAGCGCTGAAGATCGAGGCTGCCTCCAGGGCCTGCTGACCTCCAGGTCTCCTGAGGAGGTCCACCTTCTCATTTCCCCACCCCTCTCCTCTGCCTGCTCTTTCTCCTCCCCCCGTTCTCCTCCTCCTCCTCGAGGTCCTCGTCCCTCCTCTTCCTCCTCCCCCGCCTCCTCCTGAGGTCCTCCTCCTCCTCCTCCTCCTCCTTCTCCTCCTCCTCCTCCTCCTCCTTCTCCTACTCCTACTCCTATTCCTACTTTTCCTCCTCCTCCTCCTCCTCCTCCTCCTCCTCCCCGGGGCGGGGGGGGCAGGGGGGGGCACGAGACAATGCCGCACGACAGACAGGCGACGCGCAAGCAGCAGCGGGGGGGGGCCTGGCCTTGCCGCTCTGGACCGCCTCGATGAGCGAGCGTTTCTGGTTGACAGTGTATCGTTTCTTGGCACCTGAGGCGTGGTAAAGACATAGATCTGATCACGAGGGCGCTTCCGTGACGGTGGCCAGGCCGGTCTCCAGACATACCGCAATTTGCTGCACCAACCTGTATCCGCTGAGCTGGCACACCAACCACTCCTGTGCTGGAACGGCCCCTGGATTGATCAAAAGAAGACAAGCGACCTCAGCGACAGAACACCTAGCGAACGAGCCGGCGACCCAAGAACATTCGGACGAGGCCGCCAAGTCATTATACTGCTTTGCCAGCTTGGTACCGATAGGCCCATCAGCCCATGCCGACGTATCGAAGTACCCATAACTGCAAACCACTGTGATGTTAACGCCATCTGAAAGCCGAGGTATCACAAGGTTCACGGTGGGGAACTTGGCCAACACACATTTCATGGTATCGACGACCACTGGTGCAGATGCATTTCTGCTCGTTAGATCTCTCTTAGTTGCACCTATACTCCACGCCAAAACAGAAAACAAAAGAGACGTCATCACGCAATAGGTCGAGTCTGCACACGCCACCTCTCCTTTGGCCTCCCGGTCGCCGCGAGACGGCACCAACACAGACGGTGCCCGCTGCTCGGGCCATAACAACACATGCCAACGTTGCCACACTTGCTCGTACCGAGACACAATGTTGCTCACAGGCTTAGTCTGGCCCGTCACGCTGTGCCAATACTCGAGGGGCCATTGCGACTGCTCATTCGGCCCTGAGGCGGGATGCACAGCCAGGACCTGGCCTGAGGACAGCCGGAGCACGCGGGCCATTATCTACCTTGTGCCACAATGGCTGCTTAGAGCAGGAAGGAGGGGAGGGGGGCGCCCGCGTCGGGCCACGGGCGCGGCGCTGGAGGCCCAGGATTGTTTGCTTGCCTGCTTGTGTCCTCGTTCTCCTCCTCCCTCCTCCTCCTCCTCCTCCTCCTCCTCCTCCTCCTCCTCCTCCTCCCTCCTCCGCCCCCTACCCCTCCTCGGGGTCCTCCTCCTCCACCAGGCCCCACTCCTCCTCCTCGGGCCCCCCCCCCCTCCTCCTCCTCCTCCTCTTCTCGTC